CCCAGATAAATAAATACACTCCTATCAGGCAGGACATTCCAAGGGCTTAGAGATTACCTCCCAGAAGCTGAGAGCAAAGTCCAGACCTCAAACAATTGTATGTTAGCAGTTTACTTAATACTTTTTGAATGATGCAATTTTAGTAACTTGTCTATATGGAACCTTTCTAAAACTTAATGCTCATTGATGTGACTGATTTTGCATTAGGTATACATAAGACAGTATAGACTGGAAAGTAAACAACACAAAAATCTAGAAAGACTTATTTAGATTGCTTGTCAAGTTTCTTTATGTTATTTAAAGAACTTGAAGCTGAATATCTTAGACAATGAACTTTTTGTGTCGTTTATGCCAGGAAATAGATAGGAAATTTCAATCTGCAGACCCCTCCCCCGCCTCCCCCCAAAAAAGGTCTTGGCCTTACAACGAAAGGTTGGGAAATAAATGCATACGTGTGGCTCTTCACTGACTAATTCCTTTTTCTGGTTTTTTAAGTTTTTCAATAACATGCCAAACATTAGATAACAGGGAACTGACAATGTAGAATTTTATCTGAGCCCTGTGCTTTGGAAAATAGAGAATGTTAAAGGATCCTTACCCTTTATGCTCCAGAAAACGAATAAGCTTATTGAAAAAAACGACCATTCCCCATAAGACTAGACAAGATTCACAAAATCCCCTTGTTTGCCTATGACAAAGCCAGACACAGACCTTCCAAATTCCGTTTTTTGCCTCATTGAATTATAAACTGAACTACTCATCCCACTGATCAATCAGAACAAAATGCTTGTTAACCAAACTTGGTTAAGCTCCTCTCTCACCTCCAGGCCCCTGAACATTGGTCTGCCTCCAGCTTGAGCTAGCATACAACCCAGCATACAACCCCTCCTGAGAATAGGCGGGCCTCAGGTAGAATCTCTGAGCTACTATCCCATCATGCCCTGCTCTCATCCCCCTTAAAAATAGTTTTTCTTTCTTTCCCTTAGTTCTTTCTCATGTTCGTCCTTATTTTTTTCTTCCTTTTTCTCTTTCATTGCATTAGGAGGCATTTCTTTTGGGTCACTGCGCAGTTGGCAGCAAAATGCTGCCCCTCCCTGACCTCATCACAGCCCCTCATGCTCTGGGAGTCTCAGGGAGACTAGCCCAACTCTGAGGCACTGAAACAGTGTTTTTGGTACGTTTATGCCTTGTCCATTCCAAAATCACTTGAAGTGGTAAATAATACTATGTAGATTGATTGACTTGAATAAAAACCTTAAGTTCCACTCAGATGGCCTATTTCTGGAAGTTTTTGTATTTTGGGTTCACATTTTAAAGTGAGAGATCAGTTTATAATTATTGACTGTAATTACAGACAGTTTGGTGAAAATTTACCTGTTTTCTGGCTTTATCAGCATTTGTCCCTGCCAATAATCTTTAAGCTGTTTCTTGTACATCTTGAGATGCCTCTCCTGGGGCAGGGGAGGATATGAGACTATGCTTTATTCATCTTGGGATTTTATCAGAACTAAACAAATATAGTCAAGGGTCCTAATTCATTGACCAGGTGGCCACCTTCATGAATAAACTGTTACATTTTTCTGTATTTACAGAATTACTAGATAGCCCAAACTCCAATTTTATTTGATTCCCAAGAAACAATCTTGGAGAAGTTTGATATTCTGGTGTCCTGTAGATGGTCCACAGAAGTAATTTCCTAAGTGAAATAGTAAGGGGATCATGCTTATACTCTTGGATGTAGTGAGAGAGGTAAGTGTGCAGATTAATAATAATAGTACATTTTATAAAGAATCAACTATTTACATAATAATTTTCACTTGCAACCCACCAGAATGGAACAAATTTTGGGGGTGAAATTGCCCTCATCTTTTAAGTAGGAATTTGGGTAGCCCAGTGCCCTATGAATATAGAAAACATGCCTAATCATTAACAAACATAGATAACTGATCAATAAATCAGATTGTTTTCATATATTTATTTTAATTTTGATAAATCCTCTACATGAATAATAATTCATACTGAATCATAGAGTTTAAGTAGCTTGCCACAAGCAACAAAATAAAAAGCAGAATCTGCATTCAAATTTATATCATTTATATCTGTTTGGTGTCAAAGTCCACACCTTTTTTTTCATTATGCCATACCTTATGCATCAAGAGCTGTATCATGTGCTTCAGACCCTCCTTAGGCCCAGAAATTAAATATCATGGTATAATATTGGGGTATATGGTAAACTCCCAGTAATAATAACAATAATAATAATAATAAAACAATCATATTGCATGTAATCAAAATTACATTCCTTGACGGATGACCCTCCATTCCCCATCAATACAAAAGCATGGTAATAACCTATACACTCTTTCTCCTGAAATAAGAGCTTTGGAATCAGGAAAACTTGAATTCTCTCACTTATCAACTATGGGACCTTAGATCACTTAACTTTTTTTTTTTAAGATTTATGTATTTATTTGAGAAAGAGAGAGAGAGGGGACGAGCAGGAGGAGGAACAGAAAGAGAGGGAGAGAGAGAATTTCAAGCAGACTCCCCGCTGAGCATGGAGCCTGATGTATGGCTCCATCTCACGACCCTGGGATCATGACTGGAGCTGAAACCAAGAGCTGTACACTCAACCAACTGAGCCACCCAGGCGTCCCTGATCACTCTTAAAGCTTCAATTTCCTCATTTGAAATATTGGAATAATAACAACATCACTAGGATCTGTGATTATATACTGTATTACCCGTTATTATATTGCAATTTGAAACAATCCACTACAAGTTATTTTAATTGCTGACACACCCTGTTTGGTCTGATTGGACTCTCTTTGTTTTTCCCTCTGCTCTTTGTATTAGAAAAGGACCCTATTTGACAGTAACTGGATGCTATCAAAAAGATGGCTCTGACACTAACAGTTACTTTCCATGCAAGGAAATACCCCCTGTTTTGTGCCTGTAGATGCCCCTTGAAATTATTCACAAGTTCAAGACTTGGTTCAAGAAGGTTTTCATTATTGCCTGCCAGAAAGGGCTAATTGGGATTGTGTTCCTGCAACCTACAGCCATGCCAACCAGAGAAGTCAAGTAACTGTACACAGAACATTTAATATCGCAGCATTAAGCCATGTGGTGTAAAGAGCACTGTGAAGGAGCAGACTTAAGTCCTAACTGCAGCTCTGTTGAATCTGAACTGAATCTGAATCTGAACTCTCTCAGTCCCAATTTACTTATCTACAAAATCACAGAATCACAGAATTTGGTACATACTGTCATTGGGTTCCCCAAATTCTAAGTTACTAGGGATGACTTTCCAGAAATAAAATATTCAGAGGACTTCGATCACTTATTTGCACCTTCATTTATTCACTAATTTAAATTTGTGTAGTGCCAAGCACTGTTCTTTCTAAATATTGGAGATCCCACAGTTCTGGGGCGGGGGGGTGCGTGGAAATAAGAGTCCTTGCTTTCAAGAATTTGAAATTCCTTGAAGACAACAAATGATAAACTAAAAAGTAAATATAGAATATGATGGCAACTTCTAGAAAACTTGAGGAAATATTGTTATCAAGAAGGCAATATAGGGTGCCTGGGTGGCTCAGTTGGTTAAGCGACTGCCTTCAGCTCAGGTCATGATCCTGGAGTCCCGGGATCGAGTCCCACATCGGGCTCCCTGCTCAGCAGGGAGTCTGCTTCTCCCTCTGACCCTCTTCCCTCTCGTGCTCTCTATCTCTCATTCTCTCTCTCAAGTAAATAAATAAAATCTTTAAAAAAAAAGGCAATATATAAAAAGTTGTTCGATTTAATCTGTTAAACTAGTGCCTTATTCACAGTCATTCCTACACAAAAAGGAGAGAGAAATATTTCTTTCTTGAGCAAATCAACTAGAATGGGCTATAGCCCAGATGCATGGTTAAGAGTCAGCAGCACAGGGATGCCTGGGTTTAAGCATCTGCCTTCAGCTCAGGTCATGGTCCCAGGGTCCTGGGATAGAGTTCAGCATCGGGCTCCTTGCTCAGTGGGGAGCCTGCTTCTCCCTGTGCCTGCCGCTCCCCCTGCTCGTGCTTGCTTTCTCTCTCTCTCTGACAAATAAATAAATAAAATCTTAAAAAAAAAAAAGAGTCGGTAGCACAAAAAGGTGGAAAACTTGATGACAGAAAGATTAAAAAAGGTTCAGAAAAGAATACAGACATAGACAAATGAGAAAGCTTACCAGGAGTGAAAAAGGGGAGAAAGGAGGAATGCCAGGCAATGAATTTTAAGTCTATGTTAGGAGCTGTATATCTGTTCATTTTTAACTCATTGCAACAATTGAATAATTTATGTCTTTCTCTCAGTTTAAAATGAAACTAAGGCTCAAAGAGGATGTGTAATTTGCTAGGTTCTGCACATAGTCCTCAAGTTAAAAACCAACGCTCTTTCCATGCCACTGAGACTCATATGAAACTCTTTTAGGAGAGTGGAAGGGTAAGAACTTATCATTGTATAAGAACCTTGAAATTCTTGGTGTGACACTGTTATTTGACCAACCACACACAGGTGCGGGGTATCCCAGCAAACAATACAATTCTTTTTATTGTGAAAGTATAGATTTCACATTGAAGATTGAACATACTGTATTTCTCTGAAATTTCAAGACAAATCCTTGTTTTACATGAAGAGAAAATCCCTCCTCCAAGTTCTATTGTATAAAGCAGATTGAACTGAGAAGTGAAAAGAGAGAAGGGAGAGGAGCTCAAATAAGGCAAGCATACCATGCAGGGTTGAATCCATTTTAATTATAAAATAGATGGTTGAGTATAAGATAGGGCAAATATTATGAGCAACGCCTTCATGTTTTTGATTTGCACTGGGAGCTGCTGATTCTGCCTGGTTGCAGTTGCAAAGATTTCTATTATTTTGATAATTACTTCTACTTTAAGATAATGAGTGGGTTTGACTCTTCTGTCATAGTTCCAATTCTGAGCCTTCTTCTTATTTTTCTTTTAAATATTAAAATCTTCATGACTAAAGCTTCTAAGCAACATTTTCCTCCAGGACCCAGACCTTTGCCAATTATTGGAAATCTGCATATTCTCAATCTGAAGAGGCCATATCAAACTTTGCTGGAGGCAAAAAATGATTGTTCATTTCATACTTATTTATAATTTTCTACATCATTCTTACCCTCATGGGTTTCTTAGCATGCATATATTTATCACTGGTTCATATATGTATAATGAAGTAATTAGATAGGATTCCAAGTTAATTGAGCTATTTTATTTAATTTTTAGTTTCTTTTAAATTTGGACATATAAAATATTAATAAATATATTTCTATTATTTAAAGTGGTATTTTTATCCTGAAATATTTATGATCTGTATCCTTTATTTTAGCCACTTTGATCTACATATTCCATATTCTGTATCCATATTCCATATCTTACATAGTTCACTATGAAGGAACTGAATTATGATCATAGTCTTACTCTAGAAAATTTTAACTTTTATTCAAAACAGTTTGTATGAAAGGCCCCAGCAACTGAGACTCAGAATGATCTGTCACTAATTAACTGTATGAATTTATATAAGAATTTAGTCTCTCTTTCTTTGTACAATTACAGGGCTAGACCAAATATTGGACCAATTTCTCTAATTTCCACCTCAAAGATTTTACAGTTATAGGAATAAGATGGAAGGAAGGAAGGAAGGGGTGAAGGAAGGGAGGAAGGAAGGAAGGAAGAAAGAGAGAAGACATAATATTCATAGTTTGCATTTGGCCATAAATTCCAATTTTTAAGTTCAAAGGGCAGATAATTGAAATTGAGTTCTGCTCTATTCCATAAATCCTAAGTTTGAAAGCCATAACGGGAGATATACTGAAGAGAGAACCATTACTTTGCCTCTGTGGGCAACATAATCATCATCATCTTTATCATCATCATCTTATATTTGTATGGTACTTATTTTACAAAAGACTGCAAGGATTTCACTTATTCCTTACAACCACCCTCAGACGAAAATAGCGATGATATTTTTGTCTCAATTTTACAGATATGTGACTCAGAGCAATTGACTTACTAGTAACTAGAAAGCCAGAACTTGTTTTTGCTGATCTTTTAATGCTACTTTATGGCTTTCTCCTATACTCAAAGGTCACATGACAGGTTGATTCCTCCGGAGAACAAGATCTCTCAACAAAGTCCTTTATCCAACTCCATATACCTAATCCTGTTTGTTTCCTAACATTCCTGGATTTTTTTTGCTTACATATTAACCAGCCTAATCCTTTTACTATTTAGATCTTCATTTTTTTATTTTTGATTCTGTCCAATTTTCTGTGTTAATTTCACCTATGAAATGTCTTTCCCACACTTCTTCCTAGCCTACGTCTCAATTTTTTTCTTAAAATTTACCTTTCTAATTTTTGTTCCTTTTCTGAAACCTGCCATATCCACTTTATCAAATTTATATATAGCAGTTCACGCCTAACAAACTGTCCTCACAGCCTCAAATTCCTATTTTAATTTTTACTTACGTGTAACATTAATTTAATTATATTGTCTTCCTAAATTATTGACCCCTTCTACAATTCCTATTACAATCCTAATGTTATTTTTGAAATTCAAGTTTCTTTTTTTTTGTAGTCATCATCTGTCACCAAAAAACATTATTACAATATCATAGACTATATTCCCTATGCTATACTTTTCATCTCTGTGACTATTTATAACTGGAAGTGTGTACTTCTTAATCCCTTTTATCTATTTCACCCATCCCCCAGCTACCTCCCCTCTGGTAACCATCAGTGTGTTGTCCATAGTTAAGAGTCTGTTTCTTGGTTTGTCTCTCTCTCTCTCTTTTTTTTCCCTTTGCTCATTTGTTTTGCTTTTTAAATTGCACATAAAAGTGAAGTCATATGGTATTTGTCTTTCTCTATCTAATTTATTTCACCTAACATAATACCTTAATACCCTCTAGGTCCATCCATGTAATTGCAAATAACAAGAATTCATTCTTTTTGATGGTTAAGTAATATTCCTGTGTGTGTGTGTGTGTGTGTGTGTGTGTGTGTGTGTGTGTGTGTGAGAGAGAGAGAGAGAGAGAGAGAGAGATAGCTTTCTTATTCATTTGTCTATTGATGGATACTTGGGTTGCTTCTATGCCTATGTCTTCATTCTTATATAGGCTGCAATAAACAGAGGGGTGCATATACCTTCAAACTAATGTTTCATTTCCCTTGGGTGAACACCCAGCAGTGGAATTACTGAATCATATGGTATTTCTATTTTTAATTTTTAGAGGAACCTTCATACTGTTTTCCATAGTGACTGCACCCATTTACATTCCCACCAACAGTGCACGAGGGTTTCAATTTTAATGTTATTTTCCAAAGTCAAGTTTCCTAAAGAAAGAAATATTAGAAGTCCAATTTTCATTCTTTACCTAAACCTTAGTTGGGTAAAAACCACAGGCTCTACAGCCAACAAGCTTGCATGTATATCCTTTTTTGAGCATTGCTATTCACTGTGTGACTTCTTGAAGCCACAGTACCTTGCCTATATGATGGAAATGATGATAATATCTACTTTTCTGGTTTATAATATGCGTTAAAAGAGATACTGGCAATAGGGTTAGGAAGCAATAAATGATCACTCTTGTTATTTTTAATTATCAAAGAAAATTGAAAATTTTTTTTTTTTTTTGCGGTAAGAAGTGAGACACAGTAGTGCAGGACTAACTTGGATCTATTATGGTCATAGCAACGCACAAAGGATAGGGCATGAATCAGGTAGTCAGTGTGGTAGCCAGGAAGTGCTTTGTCTGCCTAGAGTCTATGGTGGGCATTTTCTGAGACCAAACAAAAATGTAATAGAGAGAAACTATGAGTCAATTCCATGATGTCAGAGCCCTGCTACTTGAAATCTCAAACAAAATGGAGCGTAAGGACAATCAGTGGATGACCATAATAATTGTGGCTTAAACAGGTGTAGCAACCAAGGAGTATCTTTAGTGAACAAGTCCAGTATTGTCATTTCACAAGAATATAAAACTGATTAATTTGTCAGAATTAAATTATCAAAGATCAAGATCTAGTTCACTTTTTATTACAGTACCATGTTTTAGTTGCTTCTCTTTTTCTTATATACCCAAGCTTTCCCAGAAATATGGCTCCATTTACAGCATCCAAATGGGTCCAAAGAAGGTGGTGGTACTCTCTGGATATGAGACAGTGAACGATGCCCTGGTCAATTATGGTGATCAATTTGGGGAACGATCTCAAATGCCTATATTTGAAAGACTTTTTGAAGGAAAAGGTAACAAACTCTAAGCTTAAAATATATCCTTATGGTTAAAATTATTAAATCAGTTGCATCATAGTATCTTTAATAATTCCTCTCATGATTTAATTTTCCCTTCATCAATATACATTACACAAATAGAATTTACTTAGGAGAAAACTTATGAGTTATGGTTTTATTCCCATTGTACATGATAATTCTTTTAAACAAATAATTATTAGCCAGAAACTATGTGAAAAGTACAATGCTAGGGAAATACAAAGAGAACAGAGGCCATCCACTTAAGAGGTCACCCTCTAATGGTTGACATTGATCCATCAAACAATAGGATAACAGTAGTGTTATAAATAATACTGAACCATATTTTCACCTGGATAAAGGTGTTGTATCTTGCTTATGTGTGTGTTGGATAAATGCCTCGAGGAAATCCAGATGCTATACTTTTATGTCATTCCACTAATATAATAACCCTTTAAATTATTACATTAAACCTTTAATGCTAATTTAATAACTAAAAATGGGAATGGTTTCATCTTGACATTAATTATTTTTAGTGAACTAATATTGGTGTCTAGTAAATACTACTAAGCCATTTTAATGCTTCAACAACTTTTTGAAAAAGCATTTCGCACTATCCTCCTCCAAAATCTTGTTCTTTGAGATATTAGTAAATGTTCTATGTATCAGTCAGTGTCAGTGAAGTGATTTTGAGAAATACTTCATATTAAAGGCTTCCCTCAGGATTCATGGGGTGCCTATTAGGATATTAAAACCTCTGAGAAAAACACCAAAAGTCTGCTTAATTTTATTTAATTCAGTTTTCACACTTATTAGTCCTTGGAACATTTCTTTTATGTATATATATGTATATATATATATATATATATATATATACATATATATGAATTCTAATTAGTTAACATAGAGTGCAATATTGGTTTCAGGACTAGGATTCAGTGATTCATCACTTACCTACAACACCCAGTGCTCATCATAACATGTGCCCTCCTGGATACACATCACCCATCCAGCCCATCCCCCACCCACCTCCTTTCATCAAGCCTCAGTTTGTTCTCCACTGTTGAGTCTCTTATGGTTTGTTTCCCTCTTTCTTTTTTTTTTTTCTTTCCCCTCCTTTCCATATGTTCATCTGTTTTGTTTCTTAAATTCCACATATGAGTGAAATCATATGGTAGTTGTCTTTCTCTGACTTATTTCACGTAGCATAATAGTCTGTAGCTCCATCCATGTTGTTGCAAATGGCAAGATTTCATTCCTTTTGATACTGAGTAATATTCCATTGTGTGTATATATACATACATATATATACATTGTGTGTGTGTGTGTGTGTGTGTGTGTGTGTGTACAACATCCGTCCTTGGGGCATTTCTTTTCCTTGGAATTCCCATTAACATCTCATAAAATCAGCGTTGAGGAGGAACCGTTCATTCAGTCCCTGATCTCTAGCTCTCAAGATCCATCTTCTTGTATTCCTTCTAAAAATTTGGGACACTTTTTATCTCTTGCCTCTGGAATCTCAGTTCTTTTTCACAATACTTCACATTACTCACTGATTTTATGATTATATGCAAAATTGTTTTAATTTGTCCCAATATCAAATCTAACATTTTTTTCCTTAGCAAATAATCCATTTTAAGAATCAAGTACTCTTTCCTTTTAAATGACTTGACTGGTCACAGGAAAACTACTCTTTGCTCAAAGATAAAATGATTGCTTCTCCGCCCCATACCCTGTCTAGTAATCCACCCAAATGGGTACAAGCATTCTTTAAACCAATTTTGTATAAACAGAAGAAATATGTAATAATTTCATTACCATTAGGCCATTTTGGAGTAGTACTTCATCTTAATAAGTTATTTTGCCATGTAACTTAAATATATTTCAAACTTTGGTGCCAGTATTTAAAAGAAGTTCCAGGGGCGCTTGGGTAGCTCAGTTGGTTGGGAGTCTGCCTTCGGCTCAGGTCATGATCCCAGGGTCCCGGGATGGAGCCCCGCATCGGGCTCCCTGCTCAGCGGGGAGCCTGCTTCTCCCTCTGCCACTCCTCCTGCTTGTGTTCCCTCTCTCTGTCAAGTAAATAAATAAAATATTTTTAAAATAATAAATAAATAAATAATAAAAGAAGTTCCATTCCTTATAATGCTAAATTAATGTTCTCCACAATTACATGGCTGGACTATTGCTATTCCCTGAAAGATACAGTGACTGACATCTGTGGGCCCTTCATATTCTACTACTGTGTTCTCAAATGTAAATTTTTAAATATAAACATGAGATAGTTCGAAGAGTCACATATTTGTTACAAAAGAGTTTTATGCAGTACAGGATCCATAGACAGAATGACATTATATTAATGTAAGAATTGAACGTGAGCAGAATCTAGGCTTCACCAGTATCCTCTCAAAGGAAGGTTTAACCTCACATGAAGTGGCAACAACTGCGCAGGAGAGATAGCTCTCGGATTTCACGTTGACACTAGCAAGGATGGCGCTGCCCCATTTCCAACACCTAGGTTGCCTTAGTTTAGTCTAGTTTCCTATTTCAGGTTATCAGTCAAACTCAGAAAACCCTCCCCTGTCTCTTGAGCCTCCATAGAAAAATGAGAAAAATGCCAGTGGAAGAAGGGCCGAGGCTAGGGATTGAAACACCAAAAGTAATGCCACTGTCACCACAAACTGACCATGGAAAGATGTGGGCCGCTTTGGCAACCCTCTCTCTCCTTATTTTTCTGTAAGTTAGCATATATCCCGACTCTTCTAAGAACCTTATTTGACTATTATTTCCCTTAGCCATGCACAAATTTACATAGCTGTTTTATTCAATAAATATTTATCAGGGACCTACTATATGCTACAACAATATGTGTGCCTAGAAATTAGTATGTATAGCACTAACATGTGGAAGCTTCGTTACACCTCTTGGCAATTAGTTACTCCTAACTTTTTTCTTGGGTAAGTCTTTTGTCTGTAATCTACATTTTTCCCTGGCAAAAGAGACTGTGTTTTCTATTGTTCATCAATCCCTTAACCACACCTAACATGATATAAGCATAGAGACAAGATTTGTTTAATGAATTTGTCAGAGAAATAGAACTAAAACCAAAAACCCAAATCTTCTCCCAACCCAGAAATCCTCCTCTCCACAAAGGTAACAGAAAAAGAAAACAATTTTATTGTTGAATAAGCATCAAACCAAAATGCGATGTGTATCACAGACAATCCACTAAGAAATTGCAAATACAAAAACAAATCTCACCCTGTTATATAACCAAGCAGACACAACCCATTACAAAAACGTTCTCAAAGGAAACAATATAATTAGTCCTCAATACCTAAGAGGGCTTGGCAGCACCATTTGTCACACACCATTCATCCTAGATTCATCCGGTAATTGGGGTGACCATCTGTGTTAATTGTCTGTATACAAAAGAATAATAAAGTTCTCATATCTTTATGATAGGAGGTAGTTTTGCAACCTGGGGCAAGGCACCCACCAATGTTAGGCTCCTACCCTCCCACAGAAACTGGGAGAAAGGGGCACTGTCTTCCTTGATGTTCATATTCTGAACAGATGGCCCCCCGGTCCCTGAAAAAACCATTGCTAGGCCATAAAGCTGACAAAAGACACATTCTAACTTCAGAAAGACGTATACATGCTATAAGTCATATATATACAATATGATTATATATATGATTTAAAAAGAGGAAAAAATACAAGTCTTCTAAAGTTAATGCTTTGAGAGAAAGAGAAGTCTCTTATTTTAAATGGAGAATAAAGCCTCTTTTAAATTTTTACTTGTCCTTGCAAATTAAATGTTAAAAGCTTTGAGGAAATAATTTTAAAACATTTTTCTCATTATAAGGAATCGTCTTCTCTCATGCTGAAACCTGGAAAACTATGAGAAGGTTCAGCTTGACCACCTTACGGAACTTTGGAATGGGCAAGCGGCTCATTGAAGATAAGATCATAGGAATGCCAGCATCTCGTACAGAGTTTTGAGTCTCACGGAGGTGCGTAGAATAAACTAAACCACATCCTATTTTTCATGAGAAAGAAGCCAAACACTAAATTTTATTACTTAGGCATAATTCCAGTATTGTAGGAAAATTCCAAGAATTTACAAATAATTCCCCAATCCTACTCTTCTGTAAGATTCCCCAAATGTCAGTATTTTACGTTTGCCTTCTCTCTTGTTCTGTCTCTTTTTCTAAACTGTTTGAAAGTACTTTGGAGACATGCTCTCTCTTTATTCCTAAACACTTCAATGTGTTCCCTTAAAATAAACAAAAACATTCTCTCACATACCCAAAGCACGATTTTCAAAACTCAGGAAATTAGTATTGACTCAGCCATCCCCTGAACTTATTTGGCCAGATTTTGCCATTGTCCCATTAATGTCCTGAATAGCAAAAGAAAATCCTGACACATGCATTACATTCAGTTGTCATGTCTCTTTTGCCTCCTTCCATCTGGAACAGTTCTTCAGTAATAGGTATATTTCTGATCTCTTTAAACGATATACAGTTAATTCCATATCATTTTAATATTTTATCTATTTAATATTTTAATTATTTAACATCTTCATATTAATAGTTTGCTCATTTCCTTAATAAATTGAGCTCATTCCTTACCAAAAATATGCTCATTTGAGTATTATCTTCACTGATGCAGGTTGTAATAAGAAGAGAAATGGTCAAAGGTAGACAAGCCTGAGATAAATATAGAGAAGAAACAGCGCAGCAGCCCATGTGCTAAACTAGCAGTTCCTGTACACACAGAGAGCCCGTCAGTAGTTTGAAGAAAGTACCTATGGGAAAACATCTATTCCTCCTGCAGTGTTAAGCTGCTAACAAACATTAATTTCCTAGAGCTTTGTGTACACAGCATCTCATACACCCTTACATAGCATCTCAGACACTCTTACATTTACATATTAAAAAGAAAACATATTCTCTGCAGAAATTCCTCCAGGCCTTCAGCCTCCGCATTTAAGGTAGGTGCTGATGTTAAAAGTAAATCTGAGCATTCTGGTTGCTAAAATTAAATGTACATCCACTGATACGTACTTAATAATCTAAGTAGTTTTCAATGATGAGGAAGCAAACAGGTCCCAGTAAGGATCTAGATGAGGTTCTTTCAAGTAAAATCATTTTAATCATCTAGATATACTATTTTAAATTTTGAATTGATTGTAGCCTTCTAGGTTGATATTTTCTCAGATGTTATTCACTAACACTTGCTACACACACACACACGCACGCACACACACGTACGCGCGCGCACACACACACACACACACACACACTGAAATGGCCCTCACCTGGCACATTTTAATTTCTTTAACTGAGCCAAATGTAGATTTTCTTTGGCATATACTTCTAGTTTGCCTTGTGGCAATCTTTTAACCAAATTCTGGATATTTTCCAAGGCTTATCTAGTCTCACTTCTCCTTAAAAGCCATGGTCACCAATAATCTCATTCCTCTATGAAATCTTTTACTGACGGTCTGTCCCCATCATTCCAGAACTGGTTTAATACTGTTTATGTCCGTATTCCTAATCTGGTTAATGAATTCTCTTATAGGAAAGCCCTTTGAGGTCAAAACAGTAATGAATGCTTCTGTTGCTAATGTCATTGTGTCAGCGTTGCTTGGAAAATGGTTTGATTACCAAGACACCCAATTCCTGAGACTCTTAACCTTGATTGGTGAAAATGTGAAGCTCACTGGAGGTCCTAGGATTGCGGTAACTGTATCTTCCCTATTCAATTTTACTTCTAAGGTACACTACGTTGTTCAAGAGACCATGAAAAAGTATTTGTCAGAGAATTGCCATTTCAAAAATGTACACTTTCTGGAACATTATGAGTACAGAGGTATGACAAGCCTGCTTGGTTAACACATCTGATAATTCTTCCATCACAAATTACTGCATCAGGATGCCTGAGTGGCTCAGTCAGTTATGGATCTCCCTTTGATTCAGGTCATGATCCCAGAGTGCTGGGATCAAGTCCCACATCGGGCTCTCTGCCCAACGGGGAGTCTGCTTCTCCCTCTATCCTTCCCCTCCGCTCATGATCTTTCTCTCTCTTTCTCTCAAGTAAGTAAATAAAAATATTAAGAAAAAACAAATTACTGCATCAAATAATATCTTATAATGCATGGATTGTGAATCATATCAATAAATAGTTCAGTTTATGACTTCAGTAAATTTTCACAATTTTGGCCATTCATCTTTTACCCATACCACTAGTTATGCATCAATGCTTATGGATAAGCCATGAATGAATAAGGAACATTCAGAAGAATTCACTTAGAAGAGTGAATTTAAACAAAGGAGAACTATCAAGTACTAAAAACAGTACTAAATAAAATTTTAATATTTATTCTGCGTCATGTAGGTTCAAAATAGTGCTACAATCCAATTTTTTATATTTGCAAGCAATAAAGTTGCTGTCTTCTAGAATGTAGGAACTAAGAGCCTTGTCAAATAGTTCCCATTTGCAACAGCACAACTGACAACTGACAATATTATTTCACTTTGTAATAATTTAGGTTCTGTTATTATAAGTACAGGTTTACTTTAAGTACACCTGTAACTTAAAGGGGGAACACTGGAACAGGCAACTATGTCTATTTTTTTAAGACAATTATCATATGATTTCACTCATGTGGAATTTAGGAAGCAAAACAGAAGAGCGTAGGGGAGGGGAGAGAAAAATAAAATAAAACAAAACCAGAGAGGGAGACAAACCATAAGAGACTCTTAATCATAGGAAACAGAGGATTTCTGGAGGGGAGGTGGGGGGAATGGGGTAACAGGGTGATGGACATTAAGGAGGGCACATGATGTAATGAGCACTGGGTATTATATAAGAGTGATGAATCACTGACCTCTACCTCTGAAACCAATAATACATTATATGTTAATTAATTGAATTTAAATAAACAAAAAATAAATAAATAGCTCAATATTTAAATAGAATTTTAAAAAGATTTTATTTATTTACTTATTTGAGGGGGAGAGAGTATGAGCAAGTGTGCAAGTGGGAGCAGGGACGGGGTGGGGGAAAGAATCTCAAGCAGACTCCATGCCGAGCATGGAGCCCGATGCAGGGCTTGATCCCAGGACCCAGAGATCATGACCTGAGCTGAAATCAAGAGTCTGATGCTTAACCAACTGAGCCACCCAGGCACCCAGCTATGTCTAACTTTAGGCTGGCCTTTTATCTTTGGTATTTATTAGGTCACTTGGGTGGTTAGGGACCCCTTTGAGAATCTGATGAAATATATAATAGAGCTTATCTCTCAAATACATGAATATACTGAGAAACATACCAAATTTAGCAAACAGTGAAGTACTTCCTGAACTTTCTAAGGGTTAGAGAATATTAGATTATATGGTGCTGCTCTATGGGACCTATACATGGTAGGCCTGTTCTAAATTACAAAAATAATTATTCTCATCCTGCAAAGAAACATTAGTGGTAAAGTGAGTGTGCTACATAGGACTAAAAGAGTTTAACCTGGAATCACCTAGGAGTCTGCAGGAAAAACACTTAGATTTATAGCCCTAACCATAAAGCCAATAATGTTTTCATGTCTTGTCTAACCTCTAAGTAGATGTGTTACTACTGGCATAATATACAAAATACTTTGGGTACATAGAACTTACTATAAACCATATCAATATTCATTGTAAATTACCTAATTCCACTAAGTGAGGAAATCTTGTTTTCCAGGTCAGTCTGCTAGTTAGTTGAGACAAAATTAAAGTCTAAACGAGATGTTATTTCTATAATGCTTCCAGAAATAATGGTGTCATTCCCACTATTGCACGCATTACATATGTATATTTAACTTACTTTGTTGTTTTTTATTCTTTCAGCTTTTCAATATGTTTCCAGTTTTGGGGTTCCTCCTAAAAAGTCATAAGACAGTACTCAGGAATAGAGATGAATTATTTGCTTTTATAAGGATGATTTTCCTAGATCATCAGCATAAATTTGACAAAAATGATCCAAGAAGCTTTACTGATGCTTTTTTGGTCAGACAGCAGGAGGTAATGGTGTTTTGCTCAGGGGTTACTTTAACCTATTGTTTATTATTTGGTTTAATCAATAGCATCTGGAGGAAAAATATTTCTTGCAAAGAAGAAAGATCACTGGATTCAGTTAGGTTAACAATGGTAGATTAGTATCCTACAAAGAATGCTATTTACTACATTTTCCATTCTCAAAAATTCCCTACTGCTTTTCACATCACTCTCTGAAAAAAAAAAAAAAGATATATAGAGATCTCAAATGTTAGCTTTTAGAATTAGTACAGTATTCCTTTTATTGCAGTCTTGAAAATGTGTGTCAGTTGACTAACCCAAGAAAGATTATTTCATGCAATTAAAAAAAAAAAAAAACAACAGTGTTGGGCATATTCTAATCACTCAGTTAAAAACTAATTTCCAAATGGCCAACAGCCTTTCCCATTGTTAGAATTATTTAGCATCATTAGCATCTGGGCTGTGTTTATTTGAAAATTCTGCACAACATCCTCATAATAAAAAAATTCCACTCACTTGAGGAAAGAATGCCAAGCATTGCTTTTTAAATTCATGTTAGGTTATCTGCTATGATTGTCCAGTATAAAATTTTTTCATCATTAATAATTCCTTTTCCCCTTTCAGGAAAAAGATACATCTACTGCCTATTTCAGTAATGAAAATTTGGTGGCACTTGTTAGTAACCTGTTTGTGGCTGGTACAGAAACCATGGCCTCCACGCTTTGCTGGGCACTTCTGCTCATGATGCGATATCCTGAGGTCCAGAGTAAGTCTCTTAAGATTCAAGGCATTGCCTGAAGGAAGGACTCAGAAATCTCTTGGGCTGGAAAAAAGCAGAATTCTATGGCCACACTAGATACCTTTAATTTATACCCTTGAGGACAGTGTGTACTTTTAGGTTCCTTTTGACGTAAGAAAGTAGATTTTGCTCTCTAAGCTTCCCGAGACTGTCTGCAGGTGTTACTCCGTGCAGGTCCCCAGAGGGCCTCAGGAATAGAGGTCTAGGAGTGCAAGCAGTGCAGAGAAAAGATGGGTCAGAACTCAGAGAGCACTTTGGTTTGATTTTCATATGGAAAGACAACTGAGAGGATTGTTCCAATATCCCCTCCCCTACCTCTAATCACTGTGTTTTATCCAGAAAAGGTCTGTAATGAGATCACCAAAGTTGTGAGGTCAGCCCAGCCTCGAATTGCACATCGAACTCAAATGCCGTACACAGATGCTGTCATTCATGAAGTACAGAGATTTGCTGATATCCTGCCCTCAAGCTTACCTCATGCAACAACCACAGACACGATGTTTAAAAATTACTATATTCCCAAGGTAAGGGTTTAAGAAGGGGAAATGAGGGGAAAGGGAAAGGATGTCAGGTGCTCAAAATCACAGAAGCACTGAAATGAATTGTCCAAAGGCAATCTCAGCCTGCCTTTCTTCCTGCCCTCCCTCCCTTCCCTGTTTCCTTCCTATCTCCCTCCCTACCGTCCAAAAAAGGTAACTCAGTGTGTCAGTGTGTGTGTGCACAGAACAGGTGGTAATTACTCCATGCAAGGTATTATAAGGTATTATTATTTCTATGTGGTAGTTGAGGAACTTGGGGTTCAGAGAGTTTAAGCGAGGTGGGTGAGTAAGGGAGCCAGATCCCCAGAAAGGCATGTCACCATTTTAGAGCTCGGTTTTCACCACAGCCGCACCTCTGGCCTCACATGCCTCCTCACACAGAAACATGCCCAGGCCCTCTGCTCTTCAATCTTACGACATCTAGATGCGTTCTTGTGCTTTCCACTTGCAAATTGAAGAAGTATGCATAGATATTTGCTAAAAGGACACTGAAGGCAGGAATCGGCATAGGATCAGAGTATGCCCATAGCACTAATTCTTTTCCTTAAATCTTCATCTGGTCACTGCTTCTGGGCCCATCTCTGCATGAATCCGCAGCGGCCACTGGTTATGTGGACCCCCTCCCCACACTATCACCTGCTACTCTGTGTGTACCCTACAAACAGGGGGGGCATTCATCTTTGGAGTTTCTCTTCTCTAGGTCCCTCGGTTTCACTGAGCTCCAATGGAAATAATCTAGCACAGTTGTCATGAGGAGGAAAAGTCCACAATGCCCAGGTACATATACTTATAAATAAAAAAGAAAGAAACAAAGGAATAGAGCACAAAGGAAGTTGTAAAATAAAATACTTTAAAGTAGTTGTTTGCTTTTCGTGACTCAAAAACTATACAGATTCATGCGCTAAGACAGCTAACCACAATGATAGTATTGCAAAGCTTTCTTTTTTTTTTTTAAGATTTATTTATTTATTTGAGAGAGCGAGAGTACATGAGGTGGGGAGGGTTGGAGGGAGAAGCAGGCTCCTCGCTGAGTGGAGAGCCCAATGCAGAACTCGATCCAGGGACTCCAGGATCATGACCTGAGCCGAAGGCAGTCTCTTAACCAACTGAGCCACTCAGGTGCCCCTTGCAAAGCTTTCTTAAAGAGGAAGCTATGATTAACTAAGGTGAAGTAGTGAACACTGTCGTTAATGGAGGGGCAGACTTTTCTTACTGTTATTTTAATTTTAGTTTTCAGAATACTCTTTCCCATATCACAATTAAAATTATTTTCCTCAATCATCTTCGGTTGTCTCAGAGCACGTGGCAAGCTGTGGAAGGGGTAGCAGCTGACTTTTGAGGATTTGCTTTGATGGGCTCGTTAGATCTAGCTTGTCCACCACCTCAGTCCCTGGAGGGAAAAGAGCAAAACCTCACTGAGCCTCAGACCTGCCAGGAACTGCACCAGGGTCGGTCCTACATATCGCTGCACCTGAGGCTCACAAGTCACCCCATGAGGGCTCTCTAACTCCCTTCATATAAATTTAGAAACTGGGATATATTAAGTTAAATAACATGCCATTATCACATAGCAAACACAGGGCTAAGAATCCGTTTCCAGTTCTGAGTCCAAGGCTTATGTTTTTTAGGAGGTACTGAACAAAAATGTGGTTGAGTAAGTGAATTTTCCACACTCAATCCCAAGTCCCTCCACTTCCCCTCCTTCCAGATTCTTCTAGAACACACTGCTTCTGAAAAATTACCGAGACCTTCACACATTTTGAAACAGCCACCTTTTTAAGAAAGAATGTAATCTTTGTCATTAATAGCACTTCTGTTTCTAGGGCACCGAGGTCATCATTTTGCTGACCTCTGTAGTTCGGGACCAAACACAGTGGGAAAAGCCAGACACATTCAATCCTGAGCATTTCCTGAGTTTCACTGGAAAGTTTATCAAGAAAGAAGCTTTCATGCCCTTTTCAGTGGGTAAGGTATCCTACTTTGAGACAGGTTTGAAAAATCTGGAGATATTTGGCCTTGTCTGAGGACTGTGCTTAGGTTTTGTATTTTTTTCCTAAACGTCAGAAATATGGGAGAGTGGAAAGGGCCTTTCCCCTGCAGGCTTTAAATTGGCGGTAAGACATTAGGCATTGGAATGGCATTTTCTTAGGGAATCCTTAAAGATTCCTTGCAGCTGAGGCTAGGGTGGAGCCTTGGGAATTTGAGGAGAAAGTTAAGCAGGGGGCACAATGGACAGCCCACTTCACTCCAACCAGAAAAGCTTTGCTTTATTTTTATTTTATTTTTTTAAGTAGACTCTATACCCAGCGTGAAGCCCGCTGCAGGGCTTAAACTCAGGACCCTGAGGACCAAGAGTCGATGGCCTAACCAACTGAACCACCCAAGGACCCCTGAAAAGCTTTGCTTTAATATGTATAAATGCCAGTGTTTTCTTAGAATTTCTTGGGTAGGAGAGGATGGGAGGGGGCTTAGGGATAGGGAAGAGAGAACTTTCCACTAGAGTACATTTTGGAATCCAGGGAACTAAATGAATTTACTCTAAATTTTCTGGATTCTTGAGAACTTGAAATGAATTCTCCATTCCTAGAAAAGAATCTTAGCAAAACTATACCATAAGCATTTTGTCACCTTGTGCCTTTCCCGTTACACAAACAATAGGTTAGCATTCACTCCATATACCCATTCAGTGAGAGGTAAACAGCAGTCACCCAAAGGATAGACTTTCCTTACCTACTGATAACTAAGAGATACAGAGAGATACAAAGTACAATGCATTCTCCTGATTTTTCACACAAACACACCCATAGGATGATATACCAGAAAACAGTACATGTATTAATGACTCCTACTTTAAATAAAAATGCAATATCACATCTGGAACCAGAGTTAAAGGAAATGAAAAATAATCCACATGTAATTCATAGTGTTATGAACTGAATTTTTCTTAATGCTTCCTTGCATTATATTTTGAAAAAAAAAAAAGCCATGGAAACATAAACAATGATTTCTGGAGGGCACTTCAGCTACATCTAATTCCAAACCCTCATTTTACAAGTGAAGAGAAGGAGCAATTAGTTTATTACCCATAATGTTTTTTTTTTCTAGACTCCTTTATCAGATCTTGGATTTACTGATGTTTAAAGAGAAAAAACAATGTTTCCCTTGACACCCCCTTTTCTCCATAAACAGCAATTACTGTTTTTTTCTGACCAACTTTGTCTCCAGGTCCTCCACGGTTTCTCACATACCTGGGCCTGGAGGCTTCTTTGGACTATGAGACAAGAAGCAAATAGTCCAGATTTTTGCAGAGTGGGGCATCTTCAAACAAGTTTGGCAAGGCTTGCCTTAGGAATTCTAAACATCTCCAGATATACTGTGTGTGTATGTGTTCCCTGCTTTAGGAAATCTAGGAGTAGTGATACTCTGTTTTATCATAGGCAAATAAATGGGAATATTCTTAAAATGTAACAGCCACAAAACCGTCACAATAAGAAAAAATATCATAAAACCAATGTTGAGTGCAAAGTCCTCATGTTCATCCTTACTTATTGCATTAAGATAGAGATTTTGCTCTCTGGAGGGCTTATTTGATCTTTGATCACAATCACTCCTAACTAATTTTGCATACAGCATTTCTTTTTAAGATAAACAAGATCATTTGCTATATTTTCACCTATATAACCTTAAAAGTAAACCAAAACAATACATGCTTTTTCTTGTTAGGCAGCTAGACTCTTACCTTGAAACTGAATAAACCTAAATATAGGGTAGATAATTCACACCCTAAATTGCATTATTTATCATCCATTTAGATGACACCACTCAATCATACATTTCGTCCTGGGCAGGTGGTAAGATCTAATCCCAAAAGCTAGATTAGATGTTCCTTCCATGGGCTCCCTCAACACCCTATCGTAGCTTGTGACACTGTGTAATATTTACCTAGTTCCTTGTCGGGCTCACCTACTGGGCAGTGAACCCTTCCCAAGCAATAGTCTCAGAGCCAAGCTAAATTAAATACCTGTCTCTCCTTGACATTGCACATACATTGATGGTTTGAACTGTTAGCTTTTATTTAATAAACATTTTCAGAGAGAAGTAGTATACATTGCCTTTCACCCCTAAAAGTCCTGCCTTGGTACTAGGCATTGTGAAAAAATACCCCCACTACCCTTTGTGGAGTTCATCTGTTTCCTGGAAGTCCCATATAAATCAAAGTGCTACTTTCCTTGAGTTGTAAAATATCTACATTTAAATATTTTTCTGAACGTTGAAGTCTTTTGTGACTCAGTACACTTATTATCTTCCTAATTAAATAAACAAACAACAAAAGAAATCTAACTTGACTGTCTACAAGAGGAAAGCAGAAAAGCAAAGCAACAGGCTTAGGATTCACAGACTCAGGGAACAGAAATGAAAAGATGTGATAGGTTCTTCTGAAGGACTAGAAGCAGAAACTTTTCATAATGCTCTATCTCAACCAAATATATTATCTTTGTTTTACAATGTAACCACAAAACTCATTAAATTTGAGCCAAAAAACTGCACCATGCTCAGCTCAGTATATCTTACAAAAGATATATAACCATTAAGTCCCTCTTGTTTCAATAAAAACTTACCTAGAAGACTTCCTTCCTCAACTTTACTGACTCCACCTTTCAGATATCTTGACATTTCCCCCAATAAGTCATGTTCCAAAAGTAATACAAACCAAGTCTCTGTTCTTAAAATGCTTCGGCACAACCTAATGTCTACTTAGCCTCTGGCCTCAGGTCTTGGGCTCCATAACTCATGCTCTATGCTCCCGTCAGAGCCAAATGTTTTTAGCCCTGAGATACATCATGATCCCTTCCACATCTCACTGCATCTTTGCCTGGCTGATTTCTTCTCACTCTGGGCACACGAGCTGAGACATAAAGCTCTCATACAAAGGAGGAGTCCTCCCTGACCCTTTAAATCACACTGGGTACCTTTACTATCTGTTCTCACGACACACTTGGCTTTTACTCTTCGTAACATTTTCCACACTAAAATGTTAATGTTTGTTTAGCTGCTTGTTTCCCTCATGGGGGGTGGGGCAGGTGGGGAGAGTTAGCATATGTACTTGATTCTGAATTTCCCGGGCTTCGGCAGAACCCATGAGGGTCAGAAGAGTTTAAGCGACTAATTCACACTTTCTAAAGTAGGAGAAATCACACGTGGACAGCTTTTCTCTTTGTCCAGATTGTGTTTCAGTTTTTTGTGCTCATACATCTCCTAACCCTCCACGTCCATCTCCTTAGGCCGCCGGATGTGTGCTGGTGAGTCACTGGCCAAGATAGAGCTTTTCCTGTTCTTCACCAGCCTCATGCGGAAGTTTACCTTCCAGCCACCCCCCGGGGTCTCCCATCTGGACCTGGACCTAACCCCAGACATTGGCTTCACCACTCAACCAATGCCTCACAAGCTACGTGCCCTGCTCTGGGCCTAGGCTCTGCATTGCAAGCTGCAGTCCCAGTTCTTGATGGGGTCCTCAGCACCAACTCCCCTTTTCTGCATTTTGCCAACCGTGATATTCTGCCAAGCACTTCAGCTTTATTTAAACAGTCAGCCACATCATTGCAGAGGGTTCTCATGTGAGATCAGACTGATTTCCTGGGCTAATCAATGTAGTGGAAGCCTCCTTGCTGTCATTCTCTAAGACAGAACATGAGACAACTAGAACCTTTACTTCCTGCTCTAAGGTCTTTCTTTCAAACCAAAACTGTCCTTTTCCTCCAATGCCTATGAGACATTTAAGTATCACTGAATAAACTACTGAAAAAAACTACTGAATCAGTAGTTTTAATTGGTTTGGGCAGGATGACTATATAATTAATGCTTTGTTCTAATGTGTCCATGAACATCTTCAAAACTGCAATGAAGAAAATGCAACTTTTAAGTGAGGATCACACGAAACATAAGACATATAAGACATAGGATCATTCTGTGAATAACCAAAAAAGGGTGGTTAACAACGGATAATTACTCATGAGTACTGCCAGTTTGCTGAGGTCAGCGAGCGAATGCTTCTGCTCCTGACATAACTGGAATTTGCAGACCCCACTTCCCTGCGCCCCGTGCTCTGAAGGCATATGCAAGACACACCGGCTGCAGAATAACAAAATCACTGTCAGTTCCCCTGAGACACAAAGCATCTTCAGCCTTTATGAAGTCAAATGTATCTCCCCATCATCAACATAAATGTTTCTCTCTGCTCTTATCTGATCCCTGTCATAGCAAAACTGGGACTGGATAAAGTTAACCCATCAAGCAAGACTTTGAGGCTATTGTCGTAGAGGAGAGACGCCAGAACTTCGTCTGAACTCAACTCCGCTGAAACACGGGGAGAAGGGTTTTTAAGTGTGTGGTGAGCTAGTAGAAAAGCTCTTGATGTGAGTGGGGAGGTTGATCAATATCCTATATCTCCTATGCTGAGTTACTCCCTAATTTGCACATTTTTTTCTCTAGGATAAGGCCATTAATGTTTGCTAATTAGCCTCCATTGAAGTTTAGCTCCTACTCTTCCAGAGACAAGGAGATGGGGTGCTGACTTCCTTGATGACCGCATTTCAAAGGGAGAGGTCTCATGTCCTTGAGAAAGACATTCTTGGGTTGTAAAACTGGTAAGAGTTTTTTTTTTTTTTTTAAGCTTTACAAGTCAAAGGGGCAGAGAAAGAATTTGTAAGTGAAAGTTTTCTCACGTAAATGCCCTAAGAAAATGGAAGTCAGGGCTAGAGCCAGGAAGAAACCTGTCTAAAGTTGAGTCAAACTGAGAGGAATGTTAAGTTCTTCCTGGTCATTCCCAAAGCAGCATTTTCCACAGAGCCTTTTTAGAATGAGTCAGGTAGGGGAGACTCAGCTTCCCTGACTTTGTTCACCTAATAAACAAAACCGTCAATGACAAAGAAATGGGACCTGCTAATTTTAATTTGTTTGAACACATTCAAATGCGAGTAGCTGCACTTTCCGAGTTGCCCTTAGTACCTAACTGGTGTTCAATAACATATCAGCGAATTCTCAATCCAAAGTCCACATGAATTTGTGGACTGCTTTCTCTCAAGCAGTTGTTCCTGTTAGAGAGCAGGAAATCTTGAGTTCTAATTCCAACCTGTTTAGTCCCCTATGTTTGAGACTTTATGACCACATGTTGGCAGTGGCATGCGTGGTGAATCTGGCACCCAAAGGAAGATGATTTTTAAAACCAGTATGAGACAAGAATGTTCAGGAACAATCATAAAGTAAAACAAATAACTAATCCTTTGGTTAGTCTGATACAATAATAATTTATGTAAAGAACTGTCAAGTAACTGATAAGTAAATTTTAATAAAATTGAAGTGTCTGCAACAAAAACAGAACTACTAAATTATACCACTCATGTAATGTTTTATTTTCTTGATTCACTCTTCAGTTTTAAAACAGTGCATAAAAAATGAATTTAATGTTAAATATATTATCCAAATCCAGTAAAATAGTTTATGTCTGAACTAAATTTGCACTTATCAAACAGAAAATATTTCCTTATTTTAATTCTTGTTTAATTAACATTAAATTAACATTTAATTTAATGTTTCCTTATTTTAAATTTTACACATAATGTCACATACAATGTCAGAATTGAAGTAACTCAACTTCATTTTCCTAATCATTGCTGTTAATGTTTATACTGAATCTTGGGATGCAGGACTATATACAGGATGGAGACACAAAGTGCACTCTGAGTAAGTTCAAGAGATTCTGAACCCTTAGGAATTCACTCTCCAAATGAACACATGTAGTTGATTCCACATGTGTGTGAGAGAGATATTGGGGGACAACACAGAAAAGATCTTTAAATTATCTTCCCCACAGGGGCACCAGGGTGGCTTAGCTGGTTTAGCGTCCAACTCTTGATTTGGGCTCAGGTCATGATCTCAGTGTTGTGAGACTGAGTCCCCTGTTGGACTCCATGCTGGGTGTGAAGCCTGCTTGGGATTCTCTTTCTCACTCTCCCTCTGCCTCTATACTGCCCCTTTCCAAAATTAAAAAAAAAAAAAAAAATCAAAATAAAATTATCCTCCCCATTAAAAAACTGGAAAAGAAAAATTTTAAAGTGTTAATTTCAAGCTTACATCTGTATTATTAAAATTCAAAAAGTAAGCCGCAAGTTTTAAGAATTTAGATCAACAACCGATTTTTTTCAGAAAGGAGTATTTTATCACTAAGCACTTGGGGATGATAAAAGCAGACTTTTAGTCCAGCTTTATCACAGTTTCAGGATCTCTAAAGATGACACATGGCTTATGTTTTGCTCCTGGGACAAACCCTGACCACTGCCTAGTCCTTGGCGTGCCATTCAACACGGGTCACAGAATCTCCTTTCTTCCACTCCAACCTTTTGATCATAGAATTATTTCACGTACACATTTGCACATTTTCCCACTCAGTTATGTGGGGATAGAAAGACTGTATAACCTCATGTAATATTGTATGCTAATTATACTTCAATTAAAAAAAAAAAGACAAGAAAAGAAAAAAAGAAAAGAAAAGGACTGCACAGCCCGAAACTTATAACCTCAGGGATCCAGATTAATACCGAGGCTGGCGTGGGAAATCCATAGGCCTGCTCAGGCTTTTCTCTGAGACATGGAGACCAGCTGTCAGAGAATCAATCTTTATGGAGTTGACTAAGTACAGAAGTCCTCCCTGAAAGCTCTCTTGGTTTGGCAAAAATTATTTGGTGCCCATTATACTCACCTACCCTTCTCCCAAGTAAGTTGAATTTGGGAATTCAATTATATCCACAGTTCCATAGACCTAATCAGCTTTCAAAATTAACTCAAAGTCGGGATGCCTGGGTGGTTCAGTCAGTTGAGCATCGGGCTCTTTGTTTTAGCTCAAGTCATATCAGGGTCATGACATGGAGCCCCCATCAGGCTCTGCGCTCTGCAGGGAGTCTGCTGGAGATTCTCTCCCTCTGTCCCTCCCCTACTCATTCTCCCTCTCTCTCTCACACTTTCTTTAAAATAATGAATAAAATAAAAATTTTTTAAAACAAACAAAAAAACTCTAAAATAACCTCGAAGTCACAAGAGTTTTTTTGGAAGATGGACATATGACTAAGGATAATCCAGTGGGTGTAGAATCAGCTTTAACACTCAGGGTTTTGGGCCTGGGGCACATTGTCCAACAAACCAGCCTTAAGATTAGGCTTATGCACCCAACAACCTCAGTGATCACTGGGTAATACCCATGGCTAGGTAGACCCTACACAGCCCTTACCTCAGTAAGGTGGCACTGAGCCATTATGTAGCATTTTGGATCCCAACAGTCAGGACTGAACTATACCAAAGCATATCTCACCCCCATGAAGAAACTACTTACAATGCTGCTCTCTGAATGCTTCTAAGAAATAAATAGAATGTGACTATCTCCAAAAAAGAATTCTGTGACTGGATCTTCCAGAATTCTGTGACTAGGTCTTCTGGTTTCTAATTTTGTCTTCAAGACAGTCCTAAAATTAATGAAAGACTGAATATAAAAATGGACAATGGCCAGGATATGTACGATACTATACGGAAAAAAACAGAAAAGCGTCTTCGTAAAAGCCATTAGTTTGGTTTTGATATGACTTCTTGTGTTATATGTGTTCTGTTCTTTGTTATTCAAGACTAAAGCCTGGGTTAGGATAAAAAGTGAACTAAACAACAACAGCACAGATAATAATAATAATAATAATAATAATAATAATAGCTAATTTTGAGTATTATTGTTATTCCAAGTATTTCTAACTTACTCTTAGAAAAAATCCCACGAGGCTGATATTATTTATCTGGTTGTAGAATTCTGACCTACAACTTGTGGAGCAAGCCATTTGGGAACCACAGCTTCTGCTGCCATCAGACCAGAAAGATCAGAACTTGGTCAGTGACTGCTGGCTTCCCTATTCTTTTTGTACCCTTCCAGCTCAGGACACACCAGAGAAAGCCCTAAGCCAATCCTAAAAAGTTTCTCTAGATAGCCCAGCTCCAGCTTCTCCATGCTAACAGCTTCCAATCAGAGCATGCATGAACCCTTCCTTTTTTTCACTACTGTCAAAGAAAAACTGTACCAGACAGAATTGAACAGTCCAGGAAGAATTTATTCAAGACTTTATAAAGAAATTTAAGCATTTATTGCAAAGGAGAGCGAGATGGAACTCAACTCTCCTGAAATAAAAGGTGGGGGAGTTTTTAAGCACTGGGTTAGGTTAGTGGAAAAGTACTGGAGGACATTGTGGGGGGAGGTTGGTCAATTCAATTAATCCATCTTGTTTGCTAATTGATACTTATTAAGGTAGGCTCTTACCCTCTCCCGGAGACTGTAAGTTAGGGACCCTGTCTTTCTTGATTACATTTCCAAGAGATGGCTCCCAGATCCTTGAGAAGGATATTCCTCCGATGCAAAACAGACAAGAAGTTGAAAGATTTACATGTCAAAAAGGCAAAGAATGAATTTCCAATTGCAAGTTTCTAAAGAAAATGCTCCAAGAAAAGGGAGGGTCAGAAGCAGTCAGAAAGAAACCTGTAGTTTGCTCAAGCTGAGGATAATGTTAGGTCATCTTGGTCACTTTCCCTCTGCCCTGCCTACCTTTGTTTCCCTGCCAAGTGCCCAGTGATGTTGCCTGCCTCCCTTCCTATACCAAACCAGAACCCAATTTTGTGAAGGCTGCAGGCTCCCCAAAAGTATCCATTCTTACACTTAGAATCTGAATTTGATTTTAAAGTTGATTCCATGCCTTGAAGCTGACCAAGTCTACCATTTTGTTGCTAAATATTGGCAGCTCAAGTGCCTAAGAACTGATTGTGATTTCCTACTCTTTCCAAAGTAAACTGCACTTGTTGTCTTCTCTTATCTTCAGAGCAAGGTTATAAAGATTTGCCCTCCCTAATTAAAGAGCAAAGTACTGACTAGAGTTATAAACGTATCAGAGTGTCCAAGAGTCACAGCCTTTGTTTTCTCCTCTGAATCAGTTTATTCACATTCAAGCTCCACCTTTCCCCCCACCCCCTCACTATTCATTAGCAGAGAGTGCTCAAGGCTGAGGAGTCCTGACTCAGCCCAGAAGTGTTGCAACTGTGCTTTCTTTAACGACTTCCTGCCCTTCTTCCCTCAGGGGGTTTTTAAAATAAGTATTGTCTCACATTCCGAGATAATAAAAGAACCACATTTCAGAAACAATTTGAACTCCAATAATCAATGTTTCATTATGAAACTTTAGAATAGTAAGACTCTTTAAAAAAAATTTTTGAAGATATTTAGAGATCTCCTTGCCACTTCACAAACCAGTATCTATTTCACTCTTTTGTAATGTCTAAATGCTTTCCCAATTCTACAAAGTACTATTTCCATGGCATTGTTAACGATTGTTAATGAATAGGAGCACAGAGAGAAAATGAAAACTTTCTAGTTTTTGTAAGTGACAAAGTAGGCTATAGAACTAAATATGGCATGTATATATCAATGCTTCTCAAACTTTAATGTGAACCACCCAAGGATCTTGTCAGAATGCAAATTCTGATTCAGTAGATCTGTACTGGGGTCTGAGATTCTGCATTTCTAAAACAATATTCTTAGAGTTGCCCATGCTCCTGGTTCCCCTTGAATAGTATCAGTATACCTTAGTTTATAATACTCAGAATTTATATATAGCTTATGCCAAGAAAATGTATGTATGTAGGTATGTATACACATACACATAAAAAATAGAATAAAATACACATAAAAAATAGGATAAAATACATAAAACAAGATGGGAAATGTACCAAATATTAAGAGATTTGGGTCATGGGTGAATTTTTCTTTTACTCCCAATTTTGTTTTTTCCTCGCAAAATATTTCCTCAAACTTTTCTGCAGTGAATACAACTTTTTCTAACAGGAAGATTTGTCTTTCTCCTTTTTTATAAGCAACAAGGCACATTAAATAGTGGTGATAACCAACAAGAATAAGAACAGCAAGTCAAATGTAATGAATCTCAAAGGTGGTGAAGGTTGTAGACAAAGGTGGAGGTTGTGGACAAAGGTTTTCAGAGAGGTCAACACTTGCCTAATGGTGATTGTGCGAAATTTGCCTTAGGGTCACTTAAGTGGCCAGGTGGCTTTTGAAAAGTCCTTGCTATGATTCATCCACCTAAGGCAATTTCAGATGGTCACATTTTTCTGCAAAGTGGAAGTAAGACCTAAGAGCAAAGACCCAGACATTCTCGGAGATTTCTTCATATTGGGGACACTCGGATTTCACTTTGGATTCACTCCCAGGACACTGTACATGCGAAAAGACTCCTCAGGCTCCTCACACAAGGGGGTTCTGCTTGGATCAGGAAAACCTGTGAAGCAAATTCAACAGGACTTCAACTTACTACTTTGTATCAGGGAGATATCGGTTTAAAGGAAATCTGTTAAGTACTTGTAAGCAGTTAACTGGGAGGTTGGTGAGTGCTTTAAAAATAACTTTTAGGGGCACCTGGGTGGCTTAGTCAGTCAAGTGTCTGCCTTTGGCTCAGGTCATGATCTCAGGGTCCTGGTATCAAGTCCTGTATCTGGCTCCTTGCTCAGCGGGGAGCCTGCTTCTCCCTCTGCCACTCCCCTTGCTTGTGCTCTGACAAATAAATAAATAAAAAAAACCTTTAATAAATAAAAATAAAAATAACTTTTATTTGAGATAAAATTAACCTAAACATATTTGGACTAAAAGAGTTAAGCTGACTTGAAGAAATACAGTTTTGACAGAAAGGAGATAAAATGAAAACTGCGTCTATTCTGTTTTTCTGAGACAACAGGGCATCAGATTTAAAATCCCAGAGGGAAAACAAACCTGACACCTAAAGAAAGTATTTAAAACTCCTACTGCCCAAGAGGAACTAAGTAGACTTGAAACCTCCTCAAAGACCCTGTCAAGCAATGTGTACCTTAGGCCGTTGAATCATAGGATAAATATCACAGGACGTGGAGGTCATTTCTAAGAAATTTAAGGATGTATTTACTGATCCACTAAATGCTGGGAAAAGCTAGGGAGAAGTTTTTTTCTTTCAGGAATGCAGAAAAGAATCAATAAAAATCACCAGTTTGGATTGTACAGGATTCCTTGTTATATGTCTTCAGCTGTTTTTTATTAAAAAAAAACCTAATGCCTACTTGGGATGAAAGTGAACTAAACAATTACAACAACACTAATAGTAACAGCTACCTTTGAGCATTCATTATATGTGAAGCATTATTCTGAGTTTTTTTCATTTAACTTAGTCCCAGGAAAAAAAAACCTTATGAGGTTAATAGTATATATTATCTCTACTTAAATAAGGACACAGAGGCACAGAGAGATTAAGCACTTGCCCAAAGTCACAGTTAGTAAGAAGTGGGACAGTTCTGAACTCAAGAAGCTGAACTTCAGAGTTGGCCTCCACAGAGAAGGCAACCAAATGATGTTTTGGGGGCAAATAATGACTCACAACCAAATTCATCAAGTCAGGCCTGAAAACTGTCTGCCAAGAAGTTTAACCTCACACAGAGGCCAAAGTTGTTGGAGGAAAAGATAATTCACTTTATGGGGCCTATATTACTTTTTCTACTACCAAGTAGCTTTGAACACAGATGAAGTCAGGTGCTGCATTCCTCCCTCAAGTGTGGGTCTCATAGTCCTAAGAACTGCCAGTGGTGATCCTCCAGCCAAAAGGCCTTGCAGGACTCATGGGCATTAAGGTATTTCTAGCACGTCCCATAAACATGAGTCAGAAAACTCAGGATGCCCTGTCATCTTTTGACTCCTTTCAAGTACCACTGAAGGCCATTCTCAAACCTTTAGAAGGGAGAAGATCGTATTCTTATCCACTTAGTAAGCCTATGCAATTACCAGCTGTGTGACTTACCCAAGCCACATGACCTCTACACCTAGGTTGGCTCATCTGTAAAACAGGGATGTATCTTACCGATCCTGTCTGCCAGGAGGCAAGAGGTGGATCAGATTATATTTGAGGGCATTTCAAACTCTGAACTGAAAATAAAGAGCACAGAGCGAGGCGTGAGGTAGGGGGCACTTTCAACAGTTTACTTTTCCAAAAGCCAGCAGCCCACTTAACTTTGTTAGTTCTTGCATTAACCAAATACTCCACAGATCCCCAAACCAGACCACACTACTACAGAGTTAATAAAAATGGTGTTTAATAAAAAAGAGGAACAAATAAAAAGCCTTATTTCAATAGCACAAGAGACTTTTTTTTTTTCCAACAGCGTCAAGAGAGATGTATTTTCAATCCGGTTCTGAATACAAATGTTATTAATAAGAGACTATGGACAGAAGTAAGATATACAACTATTTTATGGCAAACTATACATTATCTACCTTTAGATCAGACTCACCTGCCATATTTAAAATATTAAAATAAATAAAAACCAGATAAAAAGCATTTTTACTAGATACTTTGGGGGTAGTAAAGCCCCTTTAAATGGCATTTAAACTTCAGAGCTGGGTCTTCCGTTCTCCCCCTCTTCTTTTTCTAGTTATTATTTTTTTCTAACACTTAATGAAAAAAAGAAAAATGTGCACATCAGAAGTAAAAAGGAAAGATTTTGTTTACTTGCTGCTTTATTTTAATTTTCCCATTCCTTTTTACTTTCTTTTTCAGCTTTAAAACAAGCCTCTCTCCCCATCTACTCCCACTCCCTTTGAATCAAAACTTCACTTCTGATTTTAGGTCTTAAAGAGAGAGTGGGGAGGCAGGGAAAGAGATCAGTTGAGATGTATTGCAAAGTGAGAATTAACAACACATTTTCTTATTTCAAATGGCCCACAATTTACCAATTTGAAAATACCTTTCTTTCCCCTTTACCAATGACTTAGGTCCCGAGACCGTCACAGTATTTAAGACACAAAGGAGGTATTATGTTGCTCACAGTTCTTCTTTCTGTCTGGGGTGTCATCTGCCCCCTTGCAGCGCAGCCCCAGCCTCATAAAAGGTCCTTGCCGTTGGTTAATTACAGGTTGGCGTTCCCGGAAGAGCATTTTCTTAAGGCTTATTGCTCATCCACCAGCCCGCAACATTCCTCAGGCTCCTCTTTCCTGTTTCATATCCTCGGGCAATCCAGTCGTTGGGGACCGTGAGGTGATCTCCCCGCGGCGTGGACGCGGGGCGCCTCTCCTTATGCAGGGAGAGCCGGGGGTTCTCCGGAGTCCTGGCGCCCCACAGCCTGGTGCTTCACTCCCTGTTGGTGCGAAAAGTGATGGCGCTCATGGAGTGCTCCTCGGTCCGTGCGGTCATTTGGCCCTTCGTCCATGAGGTCCACAGGACTTCTTCTGTCATATGATAGTCCACAATCCGCACGAGCACGGACTTGGGTGGGGATGCGGGGTCCCGCGGCAGGGCTCTGAAAGGAGCGTCTACACGGCTGCGAGAAATTCGCTTTTCTCGTGTTAAGAGAGACGGGCAGTCGGGTTTCCGGTCCTCTCCGGCCGCCTGGAAAAGGTCCTCCCCACTGGCCACTTCTTCCCGTGCAGGGTCCCCTGGAGTCCCCAACCATCTCTCTGGGTGCAGAAGAAAGAGCACTTTCTCTCTGACCCACGGCTCACAGTCCAGGTTCTCAGCTGCCGGGCGGTTCCCCGGAGCGCCGCCTCGGCTTCCGCTCGCCCTCGGCCCCGCTGCCGCCCCCGCCACCGCGGGATTCCGGGCACCAGGAGCCAGGGGAGACCCGCGCCCCAGCTTGCGCGGAAAGGACTCGGCGCTCCCCACGATGCCCGGAGCGTCCGCGAGATTCGCAGCCCCGCGGGGCCCCGAGGCCCCCAGTCCAGTAGGAGGCTCATTCATTCGTTGGTTCTTTAAGCGGTTCACGCAGCAAACTCCCGCTGAGCTCGGAAAGCGCGGGACGGGCAGGATTTTCTTAGGCACGCCCGGCCCGAGACCAGCTCGGTGCTGACCCCGCCTCCTGTCGCTCGGAGCCTCCCAGTCCCGTCCGCCTGGGCCTTGCTAGCCTTTTAAAGACAAAGAGCCTGACAGCCCGGCAGTCGTGCCTCTTTCTCATTCTTACCCTCGCCCCAGCTCTGCTGCTTTTGTCGTATTTCTCATTCTATGCCCTCCTGCGTCTCAGCTCTACTCGATTTTCACCTTCTGTTTTTCTCCCGGACAGAGGCGCAAAAGACACTTCGCACAGCGCCCCCACCTGAAATGCCCGCGACAAAGTGCCCTCTTCTTTCCCAGGACGCGCCTCCCAGGTGAAGAAACAAGGAAGTTTTCTGGTTTTTGTTTTAATTATCCGACTTAATCAAATTCTTGTGAAAAAGTTTTCGTGTCCAGTCCAAATTCATCCCTACCTTGCTGCCAAGATTATCCAATGTAGATCTAGGGAGCCGACTTTGAGAAAACGGCTTTTGGTTTGTTCTTCCTTTGGGATGCAGGATCTGTTGGGACCGTGGTCGCTCCTGTCTTCACATCGGTTATTATCAATGCTTACTCCAGGAAGGGGTTTAGTGCTTTGGATCGAACAGAAACAAAACAAAAACAAATCGCTAAATGAATGTCTTCAGGATTTAAAATTTTGTGTTCACGTCGTTTTTTAAACTTACCCCTTCACTACTCCACTCCCTTTCTCTTTAACCCCAGCGGTTAAAAGTAGTATGTCTCTCAAATTCTGGAAGAAAATAAAAAGGGTGTATTTCTGGGTAGACTTTTGGAATCTGCTCATTGGCGAGCACATTGACACATTAATCTTTGGCTGGAGATAACGGGGGAAACTATAGCTAATGGAAAAAAGGGGAGCTTCGTTTGGGATCGCCAGTCCATCCTTAGTAACAACAGGTGTTTGTTTTACTAGCAAACTCTCACTGTTTTCCTATCTACTTTAGAAAAATGACTGCAATGTTGGAAATTTCTACCCCTATATGAAAGAGCCAAGTAGTGTGGTGAAAGAGATATTTTGGAAAGAGAGGACCTTCTGATGTTTGCCAAGTCATTCACACACACACACACACACACACACACACACACACACTCACATAAGTGTTGAAGGAGTGAGAAAATCTAGGTCAGATCCATCTGGCTTTGGGCTGGTTACTGTTAAATGACAAAGTTTTTAAGTGTTTTAGACCAGAATTGTTCTAAGCACTCTATATATTTAATTTCATTTATTCTTCACAACAAACTGTGCAAGTTGTACTATTACTATAGTCTCCTTGAGAACTTTGAGGAACAGGGAGGCTAAGTATTTGTCCAAGATCAAGCACCAATAAACAGTGGAGCCAGGATTCTAGCATGTTTAAATGGTTCCTCCTATTTCCTGTTAGTCCTATTTTAAGCCTATGACTTCATGTTCTTTTCTGTTCATTTACTCAACCAGTAATTACTGAATGTGTGATAAATGAATGTCAGCCAATATTCTAGATGTGGGGACATCTGGGAGAATAAGCCAAATTGCTTGTCCTCTTGAAGTTTTCATTCTTCAAACCCTTGTCCAAAAGTAGGATATAATACCTTAGCTTTAATGTACACAAAAATCACCTGAGGATTAATGCCTTACTCTGCTCTGAAAGATTCTGTTCTTATAGAGTTGGGGTAGCACTCAGAGTATGGATTTTGAGCAAGCCTCCCAGTTATTCTGATGCTAGTGGTCCATGGACAGCATTAGGAGAAACATCACCAAAAATCTACATGATAAACTCTAAGCCTTTTTTTTTTGTTTTTGCTGCTTTCAAGTAGCAATAACACTGCATTTTCCATCCTTGCAGGACTATTGAGAGAATTTCAATGAAAGTGTTTGTATTTTGAGGAAAATATAATGTAAACCAAAAAATTATTACTTTTAATTTTTTTTCCTTTGGAGATTGGGTGAGGGATTAGAGTGGGAATGTGGAATGGGGAAAACCTATTTGCTGAGAAATGAAACAGATTCACCCATCATATAGCACCTGAATTTTGAGATGTCAAAAAGTTTGTATTAATGCATAAAAGAATTTTCACAGGAAATGCAGAATAAGTTAAACTTCAAAGAGATAAGGTCTAAAAAGAATATGAAACAGAGAAATAGGCAGTGTGCCTCCAGGGTAGTGGTGTCTGCTCTGCTTTATTTATTTTTTTTAAAGATGTTATTTATTTATTTGACAGAGAGAGACAAAGTGAGAGAGGGAACACAAGCAGGGGGAGTGGGAGAGGGAGAGGCAGGCTTCCTGTGGAGCAGGGAGCCCGATGCAGGGCTCGATACCAGGACCCTGAGATCATGACCTGAGCCGAAGGCAGACGCTTAACCACTGAGCCACCCAGGTGCCCCCCACCCCCCGCTTTAATATCTCAAAGTGCCTAAAAGGCTAAAGTGAACCCATTTAACTTCCTCTCTGAATTGTCTACAATACTTGGCAAATATGCAGCCATTGATGAGTAGTAAAACAATTTCTATACCTGGGATCTAAAAAGTGATGGCAGACGCTATACCCTCCTAAGGTCAAAAGAAGCTTGTCCTTAATAGCCCAGTCTCCCAGGGACCAGTCCCTCCTGTTTGGCCAATTAGATTCATATGTTATTTTAAATACTAATGATATAGTATCCCTCTCAGTTATTCTAGTACCTTGGCCTTTAGAAGCTTTACCCTTCACTTGCAGGTCTAACCCCTAATGTGTCTGTGTCAGGAGATGGGGTCTTTGGAAGTAATTAGGGTTAAATGAAGTCATAAGGGTGGGGTCTGATAGGACTCCAGCCTTATAAGAAGACAGATCTGCCCCCGCTCCCCACCTCCCATGTGAGGACACAGTAAGACAGTGGCCATCTGCAAGACGGGAAGAGAACTCTGGCCAGAACCTGACCATGCTGGCACCCCAATCTTGGACTTTCAGCCTCCAGAACTGTGAGAAAATAAATTTCTGTCGTTGAGCCACTCCGTCTGTGGTATTTTGTTATGGAAACCTGAACTGGCTAGTATACCAACTTTAAATGATTTAAGGAAAATAGGTTTTATCATAAGGATATTGTTGTTCAGAAGAAGAGCTCACAGATTTGCTGGGAAAGCAGAAGGACTGACTTTAAAATGGGTAGGGATCCAAGCTGTTGCAGAGGGATAGAAGTTGGTGCTATAAGAACAGATTCCATTGCTGGATTGAATGAACAACTCTCTCACTTGTCCTTGTGGCATTTACTCAGGAGTCAAATTCTCACTCAGAAGTACCCAACTGGCTGAGTTTATGCAACTTACTTACCCCTTGACAATATAGGACAGTAAAAGGGAAGATATAGTCAAAGAAGCCTTTGGGGCCCCCTCAGCTTCTACAGTGGAAAAGCAAACAGCTGGTCTTTCCACCTAACAAAACTGTGCAGTAGGGAGAGCTGATACTCCAATAAACAAGTCAGAGTATTGTTAAGAAGAGGTAAAAAAAAAAAATCATACTAATGTCTACCACACTATTATAAACAGAATTTAGATATGAGAGTGACAAATGGGGCATTCTGCATAAGGCAACATTATGAACAATGGTGCAATGGTATATATGGAGGTGTATGTAGAAAATAGTTTTGTTCTTGACATTTCTCTTCTCACAAGTCTAAAATACTCTATGACTTTATTCCCATGGCTTCAACTGCAACCTGTACACTAGTGAGTCTCAAATTTATCTCTTTTATAGACCATGACACTTACTTCCAAACTTGTGGTAGATTGTATTATTGTCTCAAATTATTTACTTCATTTTCCTGAAAGAGGTTCATATTTCCTGGCTTGTTTACCATAGGAATTGCAATGCTCCCTCTATGGGAGTACACTTTCTTACCCCACTGATGCTGACTTTGGCCGTGTGACTTGCTTCAGCTTATAGGATGTAAACTGATGTGACATCGGATGCATCTGAGCAAAAACTTGAAGAGTCACTGCAAAGTTGGCTCTGGGCATGCCTCTGATGAATGCTGCTATCTTGGCTATGATCAGAGAATGAAGACAACAAATAGAACAGAGCTGTAGTCATACATATTCTAAGCAAGAAACAAACTTTTGTTATTAAAAAAAAAAAAACAAATTTGGGATCTGTTTCTTACCACAGTCTAACCTAATGAAATATGTTTCTACTGGACACAGCTTCTGAATGTTCCATGGTTCCAAAGTACCTAAAATTGAACTCTTCATTTAGTCTCTTAAATCTGTCCTCTTTTTCTCTGTTCCTTATTTCAAAGATTAGTAAGACTGGTGATTCAATTATCTTCATTTTCCCTCAGAAGCTATCCCGACCCCACGTATCTAATATTTAACCAAATGTTGCAGGTGCCACTTTTTTTTTTTCTTTCTGTCTCTTCCTTTCCAATCCCTGAAGCTACAAAACTAAAGTCAGACTCTTAGGCATGGCATTAAAGATCTTCATCATCCTACCTAGCCTATGACTGTATACAAGTTGAGTGAATAAAACAAGAAGGAACAAACAAGCTGCTGAAATGAACACAAAGCACAGGTTTGAGAATAATGTGAGGTTATTCCATATAAATAAAATCCAGCCTGGATCTTGAAAACTATCAGCCTTTTAAAAGAGACTTCAATCATATTTCCTTTGAAAGCTGAGGTTCTCATGACCTGGAGAACTTAGACTGTGCAAAGATCACACTGGACTGAGTTCTCAGACTTTGGCAGGTCATGTTCTCTTGGGTGAGTTTCCCAGCATCTCCAATCCTATGTTCTCATCTGAAGGTATAAATAATGTCTGTTCCACTTGCTTCCCAAGGCTGCTGTGAAGATCAAATGAAAGGATTCTTCTGGTAACATTTTGAAAATTATGAAGCCTGAAAAATATATTTAAAAATTTTTAGTTCCAGTATAGTTAACATACAGTGTTGTATTACTTTCAGGAATACAATATAGTGGCTCGACTCAATAATTCTATACATTCATCGGTGCTCATCAAGATAAATATATGCTTTAATCCCCCTCACCTATTTCCTCCACCTCCCACCCACCTTCCCTCTGGTAACCATCAGTTTGTTCTCTATAATTAAGAGTCTGTTTCTTGGTTT